CTTACTGTAACTTTGTAGTCTTGACGTTGCTTACTTACTATGAGTCCTCCAACTTTGTTCTTTATCAGAATGATTTTAGCTATTCTAGTTCCTATGCTTTTCCATATATGTTTTAGAATCAGCTTGTCAACATCTACAGAAAAGCTTGCTGGATATTTTGGTTGAGATTGCATTGAATCTATAGGTCAAACTGGGGAGAACTGACATCTTAATACTGACTCTTCCAATCCATGAATATGATGTCCAATCCATGAACACGATGTATCTCTCCATTTACTTACATTTTCTTTCATCAGTGTTTTGTAGTTTTCCTCATACAGATTCTATTAGAATCTGTTAGATTTTATCTATGCACTTTTTTTGGTTGCTGTTTTTTATTTAAAAATTCAGATTATAGTTGCGCATTGCTGATATAGAAATACAATTGACTTTTATATATTACTCTTGTGTACTGTGACCTTGATAAATTCACTTATTAGTTCTAAGAGGGTTTTTTTTAAATAGATTCTTTGGGATTTTCTACATAGACGATCATGTCATCTGTTAATAAAGACAGTTTTATATCTTCTTTTTAAATCTATATGCCTTTTATTTATTTTTAGGAGGAAAGTATTTAGTTGCTCATCTTTAAGTATGATCTTAGATGTAGGCTTTTCATAGCTACTCTTTATTGGTTAATGAAGTTCCATTCTATTTATAATTTACTGAAAGTTTTTATCATGAATGGATGTTGAATTGTGTCATGTGCTTTTTTGCATGTCAGTGTTATCATATGGTTTCTTCTTATTTAATGTTAGTTTGGTGAATTATATTGATTGAGTTTTGGTTATTGAACCAGGCTTGCATTTCTGAGATGCAATTGGTTGTGATATATTATCTTTATTTGTTCTTTTATGAGTTTTAGTAGTTTCTGTCTTTGAAGTAATTGGTCTATTTCAAGTTGTCAAATTTATGATTTTAAAAAAAGTGTAGTGTTCCTTTATTATCTTTTAAATGTCTATGGGATTGTAACAATGTTCCCTTTTTCATTCCTGACATTGGTGTCTTCTCTCATTTTCTTGGTTAGTCTGGCTAGAGGTCTTTCTGTTATATTGATATTTTCAAAGAACCAACTTTTGGTTTTATTGCTTTTTCTCTATTTTTTTCTTGTTCTCAATTTCTTTGATTTCTGCTCTTATATTTAAAAAAGTTCCCTGCTGCTTGTTTTGTAATTTGTTCTTTTTTTTCTGATTTCTTAAAGTTGAAGTTTAGATTTAAGACCTGTTTTTCTGACGATCATTTTACTGTAAATTTTCAGTAGCATCTCACAATTTTTTTCACTTTCCTCTTTTTTTATTTTTTGGTTAAAAAAATTTTTTTACAATTTATTTAAATTAGTTTCAAGTATATAGTACATTGATTAGACATCTATATTGTTTATAAAACAATCCCCCCAGTTGCTCCCTCCCTCCCCTGGCCCTCCACTTAGCCATCATATTAATGCTAAGTGCATTCCCTCTGCTGTGCTCCCCAGCCCTGTACCCAACTATCAACTACTAATTTGTACTTCTTTAACCCTTCATTCCATTCTCCCAGCCCACCAACCCCCTCCCCTCTGTCTGTCACAAAATTGTCCACTCACT